TGAACTGTACGATCCATTAACAGGCACTTGGACAACTACTAGTAACTTGATTAATGCACGAAATGGTCATACAGCATCTGTGTTATCAAATGGAAAAGTATTAGTTACTGGTGGAGCTAATTATGAAAGTTTTTTAAGTAGTGCTGAACTGTACGATCCATTAACAGACACTTGGGTAACTATTAGTAACATGAATAATCAACGATGGAGTCACACAGCATCGGTATTATCAAATGGAAAAGTATTAGTTACTGGTGGATATAATCATGATAGTTATTTAAATACTGCAGAATTATATTAATTATTTGGAACAAATTAACATTCATTTATTTTATTCTTTTTCTTGAAAGTAGTCCAAATGTCAAAAAATACTTTAATTAGAACAATTGTCATCTTATAATTTCTGCTGATTGTTTCCTTCCATATTTTTACTGAACTACCATACATTTTAATATTCGATCTCAAAAAAAAATAAATATCTTTGTTTTTCTACTCTTATATATTAGTTTATTAGGATTAGCAAAAGTTGCAACTGATACGATAACTTTAATTATCTTTTAAAATGTTCTGTTAGTCTGACACAGTGCAGTTTTCCATAACATTTAATTATTTTGATAGTATTCATCGGATTTAGAATGTACGATCATTGAAATACTTCGGTTAGCACAAGACCTTGAAGTAAGTTCATGAATGACAAAGATGAATACGTCTGTAAATGACCAGGGTGAGAGTGTGGGTGTGGGTGTTCTTTGTTCGTTTGTATTCATACCCATTCACAAATTTTATTAAATATATTTTTCAAAAAAATATTTAAGCGAGTATGAAAATAATAAGTAAATCGCTTATTTACTCTATGAAAAATGATCAAGTAAGTGTGAATCTGTTCCAGAAATGTTTTCTTATACTTTCGTTAATTAAAATAAGTTCACATAACTGATAATGTTTTAATCTTTGATTGAACAAAGAACACAAGAAAAGAATATTTAATAAGAATGAAAATTATAGACATAGAAGAGTTTTTTTTTCTGAAACACATGTTTACAAAATAAATATTTCAATACATTTGAATGAATAAACAATTCAATACTAAAGAAATGTATTTGTGATTCCAAAGACACAGGCAAGTGTTAAGAAAAATTGTTTAATGTTCTTTCAATAGAAAGAGTAATGTGAGAAGTAACAGAGAAAAAAAAGAATAAAGAAAAGTTATTGTTTGTTGTGCATACTTTATTTTTTCATTCATCATACAAAAAATAATATGATCTATTATTGTCTTGTTTTTTATTAGATCTCTTTCATGTGTAAAAGATTTGTTAGATTATCTTTTTTTCATTTGATTCTATCATAATATAAACGAATTCTATAGGAAAAAATATACAACTACCTAATTATCCTTGTAGTGAAAATAATGTTTCTGTTCAGTTTACATCTTGAAGGTGGGCGTGAATCTTCACTTAAGAAACCCACATACACTCACCCATCCTCACTCTCTCACTCTCAAACAATGAGCTGTTTTATAAATAATTTTCTTAGACAATCATTACACGCGTGTCAGATGCTGTGAGCGGTTGGTTTCGCGGATTTCGATCACTTTCGCAACAAGGCGCCTAAAAAATAAACATGACTAATGTATTTATTAACTAACGAAAGCTAATGTTACTGTTGAATTATGCAAACAAAATGCCTATTCAATCTTTTTTGATTCCGCGAAAGAAAATGTTGAAGAATCAGTCGCCACTGAGAGTATTTATTAGTTATTAGAAGGTGTCGAAAATGCGTTGCATTTACATTTGAATTTTTTTGGTTTTTGAAACAACACAATTCTGTTATGCCAATTAGTAGCACAGCAGTCCACGGCTTGCGTGTGATAGAACCTATTCTAGAGAAGGTTTGTTATCATTATGAAAGAAAAGATTATTTTATGATTGTGCTTGTTCATATTAGGTAGCAGATCGACAAGTAACGTCACAAAATAGTATCATAGTTAATTTGAATGAGACCAAAGAAGTTCCATCAATAAGTTCGAGACAAGTTCAATTGACAAGTTCAAGAGAACCTCCATCACAGTTGACTCGGGAAGCAGCGAAACCGTTCGTAGAACCTTTGTTTTTTTAGGCAGATTATATATGTTTGATAGTTTTATCAGAGCTTCACGATCCTGTAAATGGATTAAGAATGGATTAATTGTTCTTTTGACTGTTGCCACAATCATCTTGACAGTTTTACTGGTAGTTCTGACACGTAACAAGGCTAATGGTGAGAGGCTAACGATTAGTTTTTATCTGATAATATATATTTATGAAATGTACATAGATCAGAGCACTTCGTCTTATAACAGTAATAGTACCAATGCAACATCAATGACAAGTACTGCTATGACAATTACTTCAACAGCCACTACCACAACGATCTCAGGCAGTAAGTTCAATGTATACAAAAAGAAGACTGCTATCTTGAGGAGTACGGCTGTAGATGTCTATATCGATGAACATGAGACCCA